GCCCAGAAGGTCTGGATTTATTTATTTTAAGAAATATATTATTTGTTATTATTATTATTAATCGATATTATTTATTTATAGGCAAGGGAGAAGTATGAATCAGAGTGCTTAAAGCTACCAGGATTATTTGAATCTAAGAAAACAGCCGTAGGAAAAGAATTGGAAAAGGTACCTTTAAATTATAGCTGAGTTATATAGTACAATAACTAATTTTTGCATCATTATACGTATATTCTATTAGTTAAATTCAAAAATTGAAAGAACTCAGTTGGCAGCAAAAGCTGCTGGTAAATATTTCTTGCAAATATGTTTAATATTATATTTGATTTAGTTTTAATGATTTAATTTTACATAGATCAAGAATATATACAAATGGTTAAGATCGCTGCTGATGCAACCCAGAGGTGGAACGAAGATTGGAGATTAGCCTGTGAAGTAAGTATACAGTCGATTATGAACATAACGGACTTGCATATAATGTATATAACGGATAATGAATGTACCAGATTTTAAATTTGAAAATTTATTATAAATTCGTTATATACATAAGGCTACTCTAAGTTAGTTAATTGTTTCTCATAAATTTTGAAAGTGGCACACTCAGCCAGCTTTTAATTTTAATTATAAAAATTTCATAAGTTATTTTAGATTTTATCTAGAAAAATACTATAAACCATATTATTATTTTTTTTTTTTTAAAAAAAAAAACCTACCCAGAAATTTTCAATAATAAAAAATTTGAAAAACTGATTCGGCAGGTATGAGAAACAATTAACTAAATTTCAGACTAATATTATATAACGGTATAGATTAATAGAACCAAAAAATCCGATATATTTACATTTTTATAATATTTTTTAATATTGACGTATTCATGTAATTAATTTTTGTCTGTTTAAGAAATTCCAATATTTAGAGGAAGACCGAATCGATTTTTTGAAAAAAGAGTTGTGGAACTATGCGAACCTCATATCATCTATTTGTGTGGTTGATGATGAGGTTTGTTATTTTAAATTTATGTCTCATTTACCTTATTTATTGAATGACCTTAATATTTATGGTTCATTTATTTAAAGTCTTGTGAACGAATTAGATTGAGTTTGGAAAATTGTAACGCTGATAAAGATATTCAAACTTTTATTAAAGAGCGCGCCACGGGACCGGAAATACCAGGTATTCAACAATATGATATTATATTTCTTATTATTTTTTTGATATGATTATAGACATTTATGTTTTTATTTTATAAACTAGAACCACCAAGCTACGTGAATTTTTATGCCGGTTCAGGTGAAAATGGAACTCGTTATCGAAGAGCATCCTATGAAAGAACTTCTATAGAACGTAAAAATAATGTATTACCTCCAGGCACTGACCAACCTATGGGAAATTCCCAACCCGTGCAAAACTCCAATTATAACTTAATATCAACAGCTAATTCAAGTCAGCCTCCGCAGGAGAGTGGTATGAATTATAAAAGCCTATACAACTTTCTTCCTTTTGAAAAAAGCAATAGGGCTTCTTTGTATGCAAATACTTCATCTGCGTCACCACATGGCACAATTAAAAATTCTGCACTTCCACGAACTCCCATTGAGGAAGTAGAAGAACCTGATCCTATCGATCCAAGACAACAAACAATACTTGCAGTTGGCAGCAATCTACTTGAAGTACAAGCCATTAATGAAAATTCAAATAACGTATCAAATATTTTAAATGAACGGTCTGTTGAAAAGGCTTTGAATGATATACAAAATAAAGAAAAGGTAGATGAATATGGAAAGGTGGATGAGGAGGAAAAGGAAAATGAGGAAATTAAGGAAAATGAGGAGGA